TAGGTCATTTTCTCTCTTCCATTCTTAGCCACGTGTTTGAGTGGGGCTGACACTATCTATAACTCTAACAGGGAGTTTATTCTCCCAGCATATCCCCTCATTCTCTCATAGTATGTCAGGAATGAGCATGTGATAAAGTTTAAACAAATATGACAGAGTGAATCACAGGGCTCCAAGCAGGCGCTTCTGGGGTTCCTCTCTTTCCTAGAGCAAAACAATTAGGGAATGTGTTCTGGAGAACTGTTACTGCCTAAGGCAAAAGCCTGGAGCTGCCAAGGGTCCATTGTATATAACTTATGGAGGCTGCCAACACACAAAAAGGCAAAACACTAAGAGCCACAGATATACTGTAAGATACTTTATCAAGCTTTGAGTGAAGTCATACTATACATATGAACTTCTCAGTTACATAAAGCAATAGAAAGTAAGGCTTGACTTTCAATCTCTTGCAACCAAAAGATTTCAAGAAACAGTATACTAAAGTATTTAATAAACCAAAGTCCTGAGCTGTATTTGCTCGTTTTTCACACAATGCGAAAGATTTTATTCTCATGAAAAAAAGGTGAGAGCATCAAGAATGTTCTAAGATGTTCTAAGATTGAAAGAACTTTAAGACTTTCTAAGATTAAATCTCAAACTCATAGATGCAGATGGTTTGGGAAGAATCTAGTCTTAATAACGCCGCCAGGATCTTCAAAGAATTTATGTGCAACAAATGAATGAGTGAATGATGAGATATCTAAGTCTAGACAGGTTGGCAGCCCTGGATTAAATTGTTCCATGAAGTAATTAAGTATTGCAATCACTTTCAGCTGAAAGTTGGATATATTAAAAGAGATTTGGGAGCCCTCCCTGGTAGCACAATGGGTTACAACACAGCACTCACTCCAAGCAAGTGTGAGTTCAATCCCAGGCCCCGGAGGTAACCCACATGGCAAAGAATACCTCTCCTGAGAGAGATTTGGCTTGTTTTTCTTTTTTCACTTGTATACATAAGTAAATGGTACACCCTGGAAAACATGGACATAAATCCAATACCCCCTATTCTCCACCAAGGAAAATCTCAAATAATCTCACAGAAACAGAAAAATACAAAATCCTTTGATAGGATCAGTTTAGACAGGTTAGACTTTTAAATTGGGATATGCTTTTGGAGTGTACTTTCAAACCAATTGTTTAAAATCTGCAATGTAATATCTTATGTGCAAAATCTCATGTTAAATTTACAAGCTAGCTTGCAAAACAAGACTTAACAAAATACCTAACAATACTTTCTCACCTCATAATGTCTAACATAATTAAACTAAGCTCTAAGTTCAATATATAACAACAATAACAAAAATCAACAAGAAAATCTATTCTCTTATTCCCCTTTTGTCCTAGTTATAGAACTACTTCAAAGCAAATCTCTTTCCTTTGGGGGGAGGGAGCGGGAGTAGGAGGGAGGCAAATGGGGGGATGGGACTTTTTTTTTTCCTTTATGGTGACACTTTTTGTGATTACATTTTTCAATCATTGTTGATTTACAACACTGTTTTAGGTGTATAGGTTCATACCTCTATAAATGTATGTTATCATTATGCCCACCATCAAGAAAATCCAATAATCCTCTACTGTAGTCCACTGGGCAATTGTTGGAGACCCCCACGGCTTGAAGTGCTAAGACAAGAAGAATGTCGTGGTCGTAACTAGAAGACTGTTCAACATGGCTGGAACACTGGCCCTTGCCCATATCACAATGCCTTTTCTTGTGTCAGCAAAACTAAGCCTGAGAAACAAGCAAGAGTAGGAAGGGAGTACAATATACCTGATAACGCAGAAACTTGGGTGTGAATGTGTGCCCAGACTAGGCTAAATACTATGATAATGATTCATTGTCTAGCAAGTAACCAGGAGGGGAGGGGAGCAGTTTGTATCAACAAAATTGAGCTGCACCAGACATGCGGGCAGCTGGAGCTTGGAATGTGTCCTGAGTCCCACTTCTCTTAAATCCTATTTTCTGTCTGTCAGTTCTTTATTTCCAGGTTCTTTCTGATCCCTCTCCTCAACCCTATTCGCCAGAGCTGGTCTCCACTAGCAGGCAACCCAGCCCTCTCCTGTTTCCCCTCCCCCCACCTCCCCTTTCTCCCCTCTGGAAGCCTCAGTTCTACAGTCAGATTTCTAGGGTTTGCTTTGATTTGGTTTTGTCTATTCATTTGCTTAATTTTTCTTTTTATATTCCATGTGAGTGAAATCATCAGGTATGTCTTCTCCCTTCTGAATTATTTAACTTAGTATAGTCCATTCCAGTTCTATTCATGCGATGCAAACAGCAAGATTTCATATCTTTTTAATAGCTAACTAGTATCAATTTTCTTTATCATTTCTTTATCTACGCATTTAGTTTGTTTCCATTTGCTTGGTTATTGCTAACAGTGCTGCAGTAAATATAGGAATGAATTTATCTATTCAAATTAATGTATTGATATTATTTCAGAAGGGTTGCTGTACCATATGGTAGCTCTATTTTAATACTTAGAGAAAAAGCAAAGGGGTATTTTGAAAAAAGCTGTTATTGGCACTTTGCTCCATACCTCCCTTTGCACACTCTTTTTTCACTTTTTAATGTCCTGTTGTTCCAGGTCTAAGGATGGATGCCCTCAGCTTAATAATGATAGCTACCATTCACTGGGTACTTACTATGAGTCAGACACTGAGCTAATAAACTCAGAGAAACGACGTATTGTCCACTGTATTATGGAAAATCCAAAACGGAGCTGAGATATGCTAGATTCTGAAGCCCATGCCCTTAAACATTAGGATATATTTTGAGTTTATTTCTCTTTGCAGTAAGACTCCAGGCCCTCCCTTCCTGATATAGCTTAAAGAACTTTACATCAAAAATAATGCGCCTCCTTCCCCTCCAGCAAAGAGTCATTCCCTTATTGTAGATAATATCCCTTAGAACAAATGAGGAAAGCAATCTGAAGTAACTCAGGATAACTCTTAACCTTTCCAGAAGCAGTACATACAATTTCAAAAAGGGTACATCTATTAAAAGTTCACCTTCAAGTGGTGAAATTTCAGGTAACAGTTAAGAGCACAAAGTTAAACAAAAAGTGGAAGCAGCAAAAACTCATATATTTTTGGACAAGGTAGGATATGATAGTTCTCTTAAGTGTTTGCCTCTAATGTCATTGCTTTTAGTATACATTACACTTTTCACAATCTTTTGCATTCATCTACATTTTAACCCACATCTGAAGAGAAAAAACAATACATAATTGCCATGCAGTGAATTCCTCCTGCCTTTATTTATAACAAAAATCACCAATTTATCTTTCTTTTTGGTTTAAGGACTTTCTTACTGGAGACAGTACTGATTAAATATGAATATAAGCCCACAGAGATTTGTCCAGGCAATTAGTTCTCTTTAAATATAACTAACTCACAAACAAAACTAGCTTCTAGGAAGAATTGTTTCATAAATAATTATTGTGTTTCTTTTGCAGTAACATAAAAAAGATTCCACAGTTTATTGAGAGATTGTAAATTACCCCCAGCTCCCTTTTCCTAAAAAATTTAGCAACTACCTTGCAGTTCAACTGGTGCTTCTAACATGTCTAAGAAACTGGCTTTTCAGCAGACATTAGAATTCTAACACTGTGCTTCAATGGGTCTGCCCTTAGAGGACAGAAAAGCGCAATCATAGAACAATAGGGGTTAATATATCTCTTCAAGGGTTCACCTTCTACCATCCATTCTTGGAGAAGAACTCAAAGTTCAAGCTGCTAATCAAAGAAGCATGTAAATAGATAAACTAAGTGACACTAATGAAAAGGCCATAACCAAATAGTCCTTGAAAACACAATTAACAGGTCTCCTTCAGAAACACATATGCATAGAAACTAAAACAAAACAAAAAAAAAAAACAAAGGAAAAATTGTGAGCATCCAAGGATAAAACAAATAGTAATATTAGTTTAAGGAAATTACCCTCCAGGTAAATATAACAGCAATTTTTTTCCAAAGCTATTAAAAAGTTAAATATATTTACTTAGTGGAAAACTTATGAACCCAAGGCAATTGTTGATCAAATAGAAAAAAAAGAAGCCCATACATTAAAAATCATAATTGAAAATAAAATTATACGATTCTGTTAGCCATAGAAATTTATAATGTGTCTATTGCCTACTGTTTCTTCACCATGTACCTAATTTAAAAATATTTTTGACACAAGAAAAATCAGCCCTTAAGATTATTTTCTTATTGAGTTCTTTAAAGTATGTTCAGAGCAGCAATGAACATATATTAGAAAGGAAAATATTTTGTTTAAACTTTCTAAAGTTTTTTTATTTGAGGAAGTGTCCCCGAACTATATACATAAAAATAATCTACTGGATTCTAAAAGCTATCGACAATTTGTGGAAGTATGTGAAAAAGTCTTTCATTTCCTAAAATATATAAAATGGTAACTTACTCATTATCTCCAAAGAAATACAACTAAGTACTTCAATATTTTATTTTTTGGCATTCCTATTGCCCTTTCTTTGAACATGTAACTTTTATTTAAACCTTATTCATTTGTCAAAAAAAAGATTCGCATCTGGTTTTCATAGTATATTATTGAAACAAGTCAATAATGAACATAATATGATTTTTGGCTAACTTCAACATATATAGCTTAAAAAGAAAACTAACCTGCATTTTGCTATTGTAATCTTATGAATACCCTTTGAACATACTTGCAATTTGTATAAGCATGCTACCACTACCTTGTTACAGTAAACTTTAGAAAATGTTGAGATTCCCAAGAGCAGCCAAATGGCATCTTAGTTTTGGCAGGATGAGACTCATTTTGGCTTCTCTCACTCCCTCTAGCGTTTGCAAAGCTCATCGCTCTGATTATCCAGTTACCTCACTGAATAAAAGCTTGGCTAAGTCCTGCCCATCTATGACATCACCCCCTTCCTCAACCACTGCGAGGTGAAGCTTTAACTTCAGAGTTGGAGGTGGGCTGTGTGCAGTAAACTGGAATGCTCTCCCTCGCTCTCTCCACAGTGTGGGAGAGATCTGAAGCAGGACAAGCTCAGCCTGCAGCTGCCGTTGGCTTTGTGTGGACAGGACGCGGAGCTTGGGAGAGGGGGAGGGTTATTACTCCAGTTCACAATCAGTGGAATTACAGCTATATCCGCAGTGTATATAGGATTGCTTTTTCTCATCTTCCTGGTAAGTGTTTTCCATGTTTTTCCTTATAAATGTCCCAGAAAGTTTGCTTGGTTTTGCTCCCTAGAAATAACTTGGTACCATGAGGCATCCAAATACGAACATTTCTTCTGTCACCGGTGCGAGCTATGTATGTGCGTGCAAGCCAGCAAGTAATTTTTAACTACATAGCCAAATAAAGAAGTTTCTTAGAATGAGTTTTCATTTAAAAAAAATTACAATACATGGCTATGTTTCGTCGCATGTGGTTACTAGTTGATAAGAGCTTTATAGAAAACAGCAAACTGTAAAGTTAAATATTAAAAATACGAGGCAGATTTTCCACAGGAAAGTGAAGGGTTTTGCTAACTTGGTGTATACTCTATGTGTGGTATGATCGCCAATTGCTGTTTTTACAACTGTGAAAGAAAATCAATAATCCCTCAGCCCATGAGTGCGCAGTACATGAAAAGCATACATCTTGCTCACAGCTAGCCTAGCTACTCCTGGAGACTTATATGCCTCAGTAAGGATTAACAGCTACACCTAGATTTTAAAGCTTGCACTGCTATCCTAACAGAGCTGCTTCAAGCAAATCTCAACTAGTGAATTCAACTCAGAAGAGGGGAGACTATCTTCCAAACATATTCCCTCTCCAGTAGAATGCCAAAATCTATTGCTCAGGCAAATGTGGTATGTGACTAGCATGGTAATTGGCAAAGCCTACTCAGAAAAACTAACAAAGCTCACCCTGGAAGCTATGCCTGATATATGCAGTTTGGGATGGAAGGGTGAAACGATGAGTACAACCCCCATTAAGTAGGATCTACAGAATCTCCATTCACTTGTGACTTACAGTAGAAAAAATCTTATATTTAAAAGAAAAGCTTTTATACCACAAAGCTTCCAAAAGTAGTTAAAAGTAACCTTTTTAAATTTCCTGTTCAGTGAATTAGCTCTGAAACAAAATGGTTGCATTGAGGTAAAGAGTGCAACAGGCCTGTATTTTCTCAGCATCTGGGGGGAGGTGGGGTTAATTTGTAATTAATTGATTGATTGATTAGAATAAGAAAAGAAAAAAGGCTTGATGTTTACCTATTATGAATACAAATTCCCTAATAAGTTTCATCAGCTATTTGTAAATTTTCTTAGTAAATCTGTCTGCTCTAAAATGCACATGTTATTTCATCAGCAAAAAACCAGTATGAATAAAACCACTAGAAGTGCTTCACCTCTAGCAATGCCTTTCATTTATTCCTGTCTGCATTAGGATATCCTAACCAGCATAAACACAAATAATGAATTTGTCTGTTTTCAGGTGGCATTACTTATTTTGCCTCAAATAGATGATAAACATCTCTTTTGAAATGAGTAAGGAGAAACATTAACATTTTAAAGTACCACAAAAATATTAATATTACCATTGCTATTCAATGTATAATATGCCAGGTTTTAATATATAAGATTAAGTTAAATATTTGCTACTTAATGTGCAAATATACATGTGTGTACACAAAATACACACACATGTATTTTTAGTCTAAAAATTGTGACTACATGCTATTTGAGTAGGAAAAATCACAATCTTTTAAAATTAAGCATGCCGAAACATATGAAGTCCATGGAGCAGCAAAGATGTTAGCGAATGAATAAACATAATTAATTCACTAATATTGTGATCCTGTATTAACTATCAGTTCTGTATTATTAACTATCAGTTCTTAATTGGGCTCTTCATTTCTCTGCCCCCCTCCCACTTTAAATCAATTATAATTAGGTTCAAAATGTCCAATTAAACACTGCCTAAACAATAGCGCTTATACAATACATAACTGGGTAAAGTTTTACAAAATGAAGAAAAATAGTAAGAAAACTTGTCATAACTGAAAGTGGCAGCAAAAGAGAAGGTATGTTTCTTTTGCTTTCATATGTTAATTAAAAAGCCTCCAATTCTATCAAAACTTTTTAGAGCTAAATGAAGCGGTGTGAAATAAATTTGGTTGAAATCTTGTGGCTGTCAGACTTTGTTAGCAAGCTATTAATTATCTTTACCCCAGTTTCTTCTCTAGACTATATTGCCCAATCAAATAGAAACTCCAATTATGCTCACCATCTCCTGCCTAGGGAAATAAGACCCTAATGAAGGTTCAGTGTCTCTAGATGAAAAATAAAATTACCAGCTTTAAACATGCAAGTGCCTGGCAGAGAGACTCGCCTGTGCTTTTCTTGGCTACATACCCTAAATCATCCTTCTTTTTCAAAATTATTTTGAAGAATAATATTACAAAATGTTGAAAAGAGCAGTTTGCCTTGTATTAATATTATGTGAATGTTACTTCTTTTTTATTTTTGATATGCCATCATCCATACCATTATTAAATGGTCCCTGTCATTTAATAAAACACTTGTTAAAAATTGGCATTTCAATACATTTTAACTTTTCCATCCTTTTAAAGAGTGAGTGGGCTACAGGCAACATACAGAAATGGTGGTAAATGGCAAGATCTGAGCTAACTTAAAAGTTCTGAATCAACCCCCTTAATATTCTTATAGTCATACCAGACTATTTCAATAGAAGTATAAGTAATTCTATGAAAATCAAGTGAAGTTACACCATAAATGAAGGCAATGAGGGAAGTAAGTTTCAGTAAATTTTTCAAAGGCTGTAATTTCTTCCCTCCTTTCCCCCTTCTTTCCCACCCCCCACCTTTTTGCCCCCGAGGCCTTCACTGTTCTTCTCAACGGGAGGCTTTGTTGTAATTAAACCAGAGAAAAACTGGCCGACAGCAGCCAACATCTGACTTGCGGCTTCTAAAAGCAGTGTTCTGGTAGAGTGTACCACCCCCCAGCGGCAAGTACTCTCTAGTAAATCTTTCTGAGATATTAAATCTCAAAGCTGCATTTTTCTCTTCATAGCATAAAAAAAAAAAGACTGTTCTAACATTTCACCATTTCGAAAACTTACCACACGTCAACAAACCAATTTCCAATAAGGAGATGGTTTATAACTCTTCTGGAAAAATCCTTCCTCTTAAGAACCAATAGGAATATACATTTCAGAAGGTATTTTTCAGTTTCAGAACGCAGATAGACATCAATACGTTTGGTTGAACATCATTATAAAAATAATTTTGAAAGTCATGTTTACATGTATGGAAAAACAGGTTTCAGGAGTTTGACTTATCTATTGACAAGAACTCCTATTTTAAAGCAAAATGAAATTAAATATAGGTTAAGCTACAACTAAAGTTCCATTTGTTTTGCATATGCATACTCTCTTCCTAGCCCCAAAATCTAGTGTCAGGATTGTATAAAAAGCTCTCTCGAGGTATTTGTCTTCTTAACTGAGAGGAGGGAGAAATTGCTCTCACTTGATGAGACAATGACAGCTTTTGTTCTTTAGTCTTCACTTTACATGTGCACAAGTTACTGGGGAAACTAAAAAAAAAAAAAAAACCCACAGACCACATTTGGTTAAACATCACATTTAAAGTATGCTACTGGCCTGTGGATTGATCAGTGTATGTGTTGCTGATTTTCCTCCTCTTCATTAGGTTTAAATCAGTAACACCCTCCTCTGACATAAAAAAATACAAAGTGATTTATGATATTGAATGCTCTTATCAATCAGCACAGTGCTTGGCACACTGTAGACCCAAACATTTGTTGATCTAGTATATGAAAATGCAAACATTAGAAATTTAAACCACATCAACCAAGTTGTAATCATAGCACTGAAAATGATTTTCAAATTTCAATGGGAAAATGGTTTTTTAAAAGTATCACAATTTTCATTGCAGTTGCTCCAAGGTCAATGCAAACATAAAACATGTCCACTGCCCTTAGCTCTCTATTGCTTTACCTATACCACCCTGTAAGTCAGTACCTTATTCATTCTTACAAGTCTTGGTTCTCTAATTCATTTTGTCTTGCTTTAATATTATAAAAGGAAGCAGCATTCACTATGATGAAAGATAACATTTCACTTCGCCTTTTTGTTCTAAGGATGTCCTATTTAACTTTACAAGCCAAAATAAATGAAGCAGAATTAGATTCATTTATCATAAACCTATTGGGAAAAAGAGCCAGTAATATAAAGGGAGAAAGTAAAAATCCTTTGCTTTGGGACTTTTACTCCTAGTATTACATAAATAAAAGAAACCTTCTTGAGGAGAAAATAGTCTGGATAAGACAAGTATGAAAAAGCATACTTGCTTCTCTGCTTCTCAGCAAACCCTTCAGACTTTATGACTCTCAAGAGGAGAGTTAGAGGTCCTTCTGCTTGCCTGGCATTAAACAAAAGAATTGGAACTTTCCTGAAATCTGATGATCGTGGAAAATTTAACTACCAGACAGGCTGCTTAGAAAGCATTTTGCTGTCACTATCAACTAACCTGATGTACTCCAGTTTTTCATTTTAACTAAATATGTAATTCATTTGAAGTGGCATTTGTTGTTGCAAGGATTTAGCATTCACAGGTTGGTCATTTTGTTGATCTCCAGCAGCAATTTAAGCTTATATAAAAATTATTTTCACAAATCTCTAGATTCTAATTGTAAGAATTCCAGTTTACCTTCTCAATCTCAAGGTTATCTTCAAAATAACACAATTAACAGATTAAAAGTTCTACTTGGCATCCTACTTTTCATATTAATATTTTTACAAGTTATCATTAGCAAATTATTTTGTGAGGGAAATCATCAAAAAGAAACTAAAATCTCAAAACTAAACTTGATTTAAGATTTTTAAAAATGAGCAATGATTAAGTAGTCAAAATTTAACTCAAAGATAGCAAATAAGGGACTTTAAAAGTTAGTACTATAATATATAATTTTAATCTATGTAATGAAAATGTGAGAAATGCCTTCTGATTCCTACCTCCAAGATACTGTAGTATCAAATAAATCATATAAAAATGTAGATTGCTTAAATCTTTTAAACTTTACTTACCCATCTGATTTCTATGCAAATATAACTTTGTAAATTATGCTAGGTTTCTTTAAATATCTCAAAATGATAGTACCCATATCTTAGGTATATCATGGAAATAAACTGGAGGTTTTTCACAGACTTGATGATTACATTGTACGTACATTTAAAAACTGCACAATATACAAAGAGATAGAATAGAAAGATTCCTACTAAAATTTTTATTCAACTGTGAGGTGATTATGTTCTTCTTCTTTTTGCAACAATTATAAAAGTTAGATACCTAACCAATGGCACCATCAAAATTAACTGTAATATATCCCTTTAAGTAGACAGGGCTCCAATACCCAGTAATATTATTTTTGTAAAAAGATCGATTCTGCTTGTTTAGAAGGAATGGCCTCTTTCAAAACTATGCAGACATAAAGGCTCTGTGGTCTATGATGTAGAAACCTGTGCCCAGAGTCCATGCCAGTGGGGGTCATTTTTTCTTTCATTATTTAAATTCAGCTACAATGTCTCTATGTGCTTGAATGCATGGAGACAACTCAGAAAGAGGAAAAATCTAAACATGGAGGCAGGATTGTTTATTTTAGATGAAGAGATCCTGATAATCTTTAATATGAAAAGTAAAACTTTAGTATTATAGCTTCAAATACAGGCAGGAAGAGATATAAAACAAAAAAAATATTAACTTTTTTTGAGTTTAAATAAAGGATGTAGGGACTTTAAGAAATTTTCATTTCTGAAAAGTCTCCTTCTCTACACAGAAACCTGCCTATTATTTTTGCCTTTTGTTTTAGTTTAAGTTGGGGAGAAAGACATTTTCCAAAAATTTAATGAGACTTAGGCTGTTGTTAATCCCACATAATTATCGCTATTGTGTTAAGGGCATTGTAAATTTGCATATCAATCAGAGCATTAGGGAGTAGTTTCACAAATGCAAAACAGAAAAAAATAAACAAATTAATCTTCCTTCTTTTTATACTAACTTAGATTTATTTCTCTGGGTTAAAAAATGTGAAAATCAATACATATTCTTAGAGTTTGATTTGATGGAAATATTTATTGACCAGATAAGAGTTCAAATGCAGCAATTTATCTCTTGTTATCATAATGATCACCTCACTCTAAACTGATCTACCTCCAGGAACAAAAAACACATTTTAAATCCCCATGCAGTAGCTCCATCTTCTTAACTTCATTAACTTCACTGTTCATGAATATGAGAAATGCTTGACTATTGGTATCCTTTTAAGCAGGTTCTAACCTGTTATTTTTATAATGGATTTTAATTAGTTTCTAATGCAATTTAACAATATAATTGTTTTCTAAGTTTAAATTAACCAAATAATTCTAAATGTTGAATAATATTCCAGTTTAGAAAACATTTATAGCCAGTACTTTTTTAAAATTACATTGCAATTATTTCAACAGTCTAGTTTTCTATGTTCATATATTAGGAAACAACAATTTTTAACAAAATATTGACTGAAAGTCAATAAAAATGAGGAAAAACCTTTAAGTCACCCAGTAAAACCTCACATTATATGATAAATAATCTGAACTTTTCCTCTGTGGGCACTTTACAGTATCCACTAGAGACTACTTTATCCATTTTTGTTTCAAGTTCCTTAAATTCAAATTAACAATGTCTATATTTTTTAGATATTCCCTTGTGTAAATAACAGTGTTGGTATCTGGTGGCATACTAAAAGAAACTGAATTTTCATAGAGAACTAAAAACACAAATTTTGGCCTTGTTTAACATTCACTTTCAATAGTTTGAATTCTGGAACAGATGCTATCCTTGTTGGATGCTAGGTAATTACTGAGGGAGAAGCAAATTGCTTCTACTTTAGTCCTGAAATTCAGGGTCAAATATGTCCATGTTACTCTAATATTCCCTACATTTACAGTAAGTACCTGAGTGAATAACTCTGCATAACAGAAACTGATCCTATCTCCCTCTGGTGTCCTCCCCCACCAAATATTCATATACACATTACATAATGAACAAAGCAGTTATTAAAATTGTTGGTCTCTTTGGGTAAACCTTAATTCTTCTTTCAGAAAAGAAAAATACACTTACTGGAAATTACATGTTCGGACCTAAAGACAAATAAATGCCTTATCAGGCTGGTTCCCTAATGGTCACTTACAGGGATAGATCGAAATAACAATCCATTCTATTACAAATACAGAGTTCTCAAGTTCAGTTTGCTAAAATGAAATTGAAATTGCAAAACTATTTATAATTTGCACTTCTTTTGGTCATGAATACTTGAGTATCTAGTTTCAAAATCATTGACTAGTCCTATAAACACCTCTAAGGAGGAACATGTTAATGCTGTAACTGGGGAAACTGTGGCCTGCAGGAAAAGTAAAACAGGATACGGGCAACCCAAAGCCTCTAAACTCTTTTAAACTATTTTCAGTTCTTTAAATGATACATGGTGTGTTTGTATAAAACCATATTCAGAAATGTTACCATGACATTTTTGTCAAAAATCCTTTCTGTGGATAGGCTTATCTCTTTTGCATGTGCTTGTTTTCTTCTTTTTAAATATTTTATTTTTATATCAGAAATATAAAAATGAGCTTTTAAAGAGTAAGTTAATCTGAATTAGAAAGTCGTTGAAGGGAATGACTGGTGTTTAAATGAAACTTTGCATCTGTGTTTAAGGCAAAGTATCACTTACCAAAGAGTTAACAGTAAAATTTATTTTTGGTGACAATCTCAACTCTAGCTCCTATTATATTTATGTAATACAATAGAGAGTAAAAACAAAGAGGTCATCTTATCCCTTCCATCAACTACTATTATCAAAAATGTATTGCTTAAGAAAAAGGTGCAATTAAATTTTTAAGATATTTCTTAAATATGTCAAAATTCACTATTAATAGTTCATTAAAACCTTTTACTTTCACAGGAGATGCCCAGTATATTTTAAGGAAGAGGAATATAAAGGAAATCTAGTATGCTTCCTTTTTTTTTTTTTCATGAAGAATATCTGAATTAAATTTTCTTTGCCTTTTAAAAAGAATACCTGTTCTTGCATAACGTGACCATACCAGAAATTCTGAGAAGGCAACAAGAAGCAAAAGCTGGAAATAGCTATTTCACAGTAGGTCATCATACCTCAGGATGTAGCTACTATACAAAGTTTATACTTGGATAATCCTGGATGGGAATAAAGGTGGGTGGTAAAACTGCCTGAAAAACCTATTACCATACAGGCCTTAGCATCATGAATGGCTTTCTTCATGAGGATCTGAAGTTACTATCTCTGACCACATTGCACAGAAGAGCCAATAAGAATTTCAAAGAGAGCAATTTTCACTAAGGGAATTAAGCTACACAAAAGGAACCTTCACACAGAAACGCTTATCAGAAAGAAAAAAATACATAGGAAGTCATGAGTTCTACATAGTAACAGAAAGCTGAATTGTATCTGGCCCCCACTTTAATAAACTTGCCCAACATGCTGAACTGCAGCTGGAATGAATATTCATTGACAACAGCAATTCTGATCTAGAGGTGTGCCTGGCATAGGATTACTTGAATAAACAGTGAAGAACATTTCTAAGGACTAACCAAGAGTTTTTAAATCCCTCACCAAGAAAATAATATATGTGCATTGGATTTTCACTCACGCAAAATTTACTCACATCGTTCAATAAGGTAGGAAATATATTAAACTTTCTCATTTTCATGCCTGAAAGGCTAATTAATACCTAAAAGTGCAAAATAGATAATACTACATGAAAAATTGATATAAATCTATAATTTTCCAGTCATGGGGAAGTTGAAACATAGTCTACATAGAAACTTGAAGATATAAACAAATTGTTCAAATATTATGAAAGAGGATATAGTAAACTATGTGCATTGAGCTATTAAACTATAAAGTATGAAACATATTACAAAATGTGAACAAAATTAGAACTGTCTAACAATTTTTAGTGTTAATTATCAAAGAAAATGAAATGACACTAATAATTGACTTTACGGAGTTTGGAATCTCAAGGTATGCAACTAATCCTGCAATGTAAGACAATTGTTTTGTTTTTAACTGCACATTTCTATAATTCTGTGGACTCCCTAATAAAACAAAGGCATAAAATTTTGCTTTCTAAGAACAAAGACATCTTTTAAATATAACAAATCTAATTCCTATATTTTAATTAATTAATCATTAGAAAATCAGAAATTTTATTAGCTTGGTCAATGAATAGCTATAAAATTGATATCAACTGCTAAAAAAATGCTTTGGAATATTCAATAGAACTTTTTTATTTCAAAAATCAAAACTTTTTTTATTTCAAAAATCAAAAGGATTTGAGAGACAAACTTCTTACTACTGAAAATATTTAGGATGAAGGGGTTATATGATTATGTACATTGTTAGCTAGAAAAAGTTCTAAATATGCAAAAAAAGTGATTGTTTATCAATGCTTCCATGTTTACATGTGTTATGAATATTTTAATTATTTTGACCTAATTTTTATTTTTTAACTCACTTTATTTCAGGGCTTTGAAGCTACTGACCATGACCAGCCCAGCCTGGAGCATTTTCCTAGTCGGGACTAAAATTGGTCTGTTCCTTCAGGTGGCATCTCTATCAGTTATGGCTAAATCCTGTCCATCTGTGTGCCGCTGTGATGCAGGTTTCATTTACTGTAATGACCGTTTTCTGACATCCATTCCAACAGGAATACCAGAGGATGCTACAACTCTCTATCTTCAGAACAACCAGATAAATAATGCTGGTATTCCTTCAGATTTGAAAAACTTGCTGAAAGTAGAAAGAATATACCTATATCACAATAGTTTAGATGAATTTCCTACCAACCTCCCAAAGTATGTAAAAGAGTTACATTTGCAAGAAAATAACATAAGGACTATCACTTATGACTCACTTTCAAAAATTCCTTATCTGGAAGAATTACATTTAGATGATAACTCTGTCTCTGCTGTTAGCATTGAAGAGGGGGCATTCCGAGACAGCAACTATCTCCGCCTGCTTTTCCTGTCCCGTAACCACCTTAGCACAATTCCCTGGGGTTTGCCCAAGACCATAGAAGAACTACGCTTGGATGATAATCGCATATCCACTATTTCATCGCCATCTCTTCAAGGTCTCACTAGCCTAAAACGCCTGGTTTTAGATGGAAACCTGTTGAACAACCATGGTTTAGGTGATAAAGTTTTCTTCAATTTAGTCAATTTAACAGAACTGTCACTGGTACGGAATTCCCTTACTGCTGCACCAGTAAACCTTCCAGGAACAAACCTAAGGAAACTTTATCTTCAAGATAATCACATCAACCGGGTACCCCCCAAAGCATTTTCTTATCTAAGGCAGCTATATCGACTTGATATGTCCAATAATAATATAAGTAATTTACCTAAGGGTATCTTTGATGATTTGGACAATATAACCCAACTGATTCTTCGCAACAATCCCTGGTATTGTGGGTGCAAGATGAAATGGGTACGTGACTGGTTACAATCACTACCTGTGAAGGTCAATGTGCGTGGGCTCATGTGCCAAGCACCAGAAAAAGTTCGAGGGATGGCTATCAAGGATCTAAATGCAGAATTATTTGATTGTAAGGACAGTGCAGTTGTAAGCACCATTCAGATAACCACTGCAATACCAAACACAGTATTTCCGGCTCAAGGACAATGGCCAGCTCCAGTGACCAAGCAACCAGATGTTAAGAACCCCAAGTTCACTAAGGATCAGCGAACTACAGCAAGTCCAGCAAGAAAAACAATTATAATTACTGTGAAATCTGTCACCTCTGACACAATCCATATCACTTGGAAACTTATTCTACCGATGACTGCTTTAAGACTCAGTTGGCTCAAACTGGGTCATAGCCCTGCATTTGGATCTATAACAGAAACAATTGTAACAGGGGAACGCAGTGAATACTTGGTCACAGCGCTGGAGCCTGATTCACCCTATCGAGTATGCATGGTTCCCATGGAAACCAGTAACCTCTACCTATTTGACGAAACTCCTGTTTGTATTGAAACTGAAACTGCACCCCTTCGAATGTACAACCCTACAACCACCCTTAATCGAGAGCAAGAGAAAGAACCTTACAAAAACCCCAATTTACCGCTGGCTGCCATCATAGGTGGGGCTGTGGCGCTGGTGGCCATTGCCCTTCTTGCATTAGTGTGCTGGTATGTCCATAGAAATGGCTCACTCTTCTCAAGGAACTGTGCATACAGCAAAGGGAGGAGGAGAAAGGATGACTATGCAGAAGCTGGCACTAAGAAGGACAACTCTATCCTGGAAATCAGGGAGACATCTTTTCAGATGTTGCCAATAACCAATGAACCAATCTCAAAGGAGGAATTTGTAATACATACCATATTTCCTCCTAATGGAATGAATCTGTATAAAAACAATCACAGTGAAAGCAGTAGTAACCGAAGCTACGGAGACTACAGAGACAGTGGTATTCCAGACTCAGATCATTCACACTCATGATGCTGGAGGACACACAGCAGACTGTTCAGATTTTTTTTTAACCTAAGGGAGGTGATGGTAGGAAACCTGTTCTACTGCAAAAACACTGGAAAAAGAGACTGAAAAAAAGCAATGTACTGTACATTTGCCATATAATTTATATTTAAGAACTTTTTATTAAAAGTTTCAAATTTCAGGTTACTGCTGCGATTGATGTAGTGGAGATGCCTGAACACAAGTCTATATTTTAGTATTTTTTAGTAATTTGTACTGTATTTTCCTTGCAAATATTGAAGTTATAAATCATTTACTTTGTGTTCTACTGAGTAAGATGACTTGTTGACTGTGAAAGTGAATTTTCTTGCTGTGTTGAACAATCAGGACTGCATTCACATGAGATCCTTGTAGTATAAGCACAGGCCATTTTTCACTTTGGTATGAATAAAATGTAAAAAAAAAACCTGGCTGAATGAGAAAATTAAATTTCAAAAATAGTTATGAAATAATGTTCCAATTATTAAATTTGTATTATCCCAGTGGTATTCAATAAATTAAAATATGTGAAGTAATGGGCAATATCAAACTTGCTGCATATCTCCATTTGCTTTAAGCAAATTAGATATCCTTAAGAAAGTAAACCTAATTTCTGAACTGAATACATCAGCTGGCATAATAGGAGTGCAAAATCATTAAAGCCACTGATCGTTAGCAAAGCTTTGACGGTAAAAAGGATTTCACAGAATAATGTAAGTGTGCTTCCAATTTAGGGGGAAAATGTATACTTAGAAAAACACAAAAACGTAGACTGGCATAGCATAATAAACATAAATACCAGAATTGAGTTTTGATTTTTACCTGTACCATACTGGTTTTTGACAAGTGAGTTCTAGACACATAGCTTTTAGGGTTTATGATATCTTTACCATCAAGGATGTCAATGAGAAAACTATACATACTAAAAAGGTAGTATAGCCATAAGCAAGTCCCCTCAACAGTCCAGCGAAAGTAGTACTTTAAACAAGTGAGAATTTAAAAGAAAAATAAATGCTAAAGATCAAATTCAGATGTGGTTTATATGAAATTCTTTAACACTGTACATAAATGTTCTGTTTACTTTCACAGAATACTGCCCATTACTGTCACAGTTTTCCAGATACTACATAATGACTTGTAACATTTCTTTCTAGCTTCCTACTGAATTGTGAGCTATCACTTGTTTAAAAAACATCATTTTTCTGTTGCCATGATGTTTTTTTTTCCCAACAAAAAACCAAAGTGCATTGTACGCCCTTTGGCCAGTCTTGTATGTGCCTTGATCCAACGCTACATGTATTCAGCTTTTAAAATTCGACAAATTTTTCATAATTACTCAAATATGAAAAATTATGGTCTTATTGCTGAATAAAACAAAAAGTACAAAATAATCGTGCTTGCTTTTCGGGATTATGTTACTATCACTAAAGTAGCAAGTGGCCCAGCACATTAGCCTAAGCACCCTCATGTATTTTTCTAGGCATAAAAATAAACGTTGGCTACAAATTAAGAAAAAAAAAAAGTGCTATCTTGATCTTGTGTATCATTTTACTTAAAAAAGTTCAATATTTTGTGCATATATTAATTTTTTTTCATAATGCTGGAATTTTACTTATTTGCTCTGTAGATGAAAAATTTCAGAAGAGGCTTTGTGACCTTTCCATCTTTTGTACTCTTAAGGTGGTCTTTGAAAAATTAATATTTTAATAGCTTCTTGGTTGCATGAGTTGGCATCACTCAATTAGAAATTTCAGATCTAAGAGTTCCTAGGTATACACTTACTAACAAGTCACTTATTTTCTATAACTTATTATAAAATAGGGCTATCACCACAAAGCTCCCAGGATTGGTGTAAGGATTAAATTAGATAATGTGCATGAAAACTGTACAATGTTACACAAAATGTTTCTGTTGTTACAGTTATAGAGAGTAGTTTTGTATTCTTGAAAGTTTGCTAAATATCACTGCCTCTGCTACATTACTAACAAATATCTCCAACTGCCTATGAAATATCATTCATTATTTAGTTGCCATTCAAATATTTCCCATCACTTTTTCTTTGGACTTCCTGATATGGAGGTTTTCTATGAGTAAGTTAGCAAAGACAAATGTGATTAAAACTGAATATAGAAAATGTTTTCAAGAAGAACCTTGAGTTTACTTCCAGAGGTTCTGAGTAGGTCAGCTACAGTTATGCCAAAAGTAAAGATTAAATGGTCCCATACAGATGCTATAATTTATGTAATTATGAACTGCCGAAAAAAGTGGTGTGTTAATGAAAAATCAAAAACCAAGAGGTATGTTCCCAGTTGGTCTACCTTTCATGAGCACAGATTATATATAATTTGATTATTCTACCTGACAAAACATAAAGATATTTTACACTAGTAAAACAGAGAAATACTGAAAAGATAAAGGTTTACCTGGAAACCAAATGCTTTGTTGAAAATATACTCGTCTTAGAAAATAATGAAACACAAACTTACACCTTAAAACAGCACTAAATTATAGATGAATTTGCATATATCCCAAATTAACTGCTTATATTTTATATTGTTTAGGTACCAACAGAGAAAATTATAGGGTAAAAATCTAATCCTCAATGTAATGTAACCCACATGTTATAAGAATTAGATCAGGAAAGCTACCAAGGAAAATAAAAAAGAAAGGTAAAAAAATCACTCCGCTATAAAATTGACAAAATTCAAAAACTTCTTAGATGCAGATACTTGTCACTGCATTAAATCACTATGTTCATGCTCTTGTTCACTAATTTAATATATATATGCATATTAATAGCTATACATATGTAATTATATATATATATATATATTATCTTTTAGGAAGGCCTGCTTATTAAAATGTTTTCCCCTGGGCCAAAGGAACTAGAGGGAAAAAAAAAGCTTCTGCTTTACTATAATTTCTGACAAAAGCATATTTTATAGCCACATGTCAATGTGGTGGTTTTTATAAGGAATACAGAGAGACTCACATGCTTTAAAGCACCTAAATTGTGGATGTTAAAGGTGAGTTTAGTTTTATATTAGCTCATCTGCCACTGAAAGCAGCAATGGTATTAAAATTCTAACTTTCATATTTAGCATGATTATCAAATCTTAATTTAGCAAAATTTTGATATTAAAACTACTATATGTTATTTATTTTTGGTTAAATTAGCAAGATACATGCTTGTCAATCACCTTCTAAAAAACTTCAAAGTTCTCTACACATAATCTCCACAGCCAAAGACCTTTACTGACTGGCTTCTGCATTGTAAATAATGGAAGCCTTACCTCTAAGAGTTATGTCGCAAGATTATAATTTACATAATGTAATGAAAGTTTCTGTGACTGCAACACATAAAAAGAAATAATTTCACCTATTTAGATATATAAGGAAGACCTCAAGAAGAAAGTAAAATCAGGGTGGAATAAGAACATATTTCAAGATAAAGCAAGAATAGCAGATACCATATTCATGGGGAGAAAATGAGGAAAAAATTATGCAGTGGAGGACCGCTGTGTTATGAAAAAAGTATTTAGGGAAAAGTCAGGGATAAAGTTGAAATATAAGGGGTATATATTTCATAAGGTGGTTTATGTCAGACTTCGCTGATTGCTGAATTCTAAGCTAAGAATTTTCTTTGAAAAGGGTGTAATTCAAAAGATAAAGGAAAGGTACGCTTCTTACAAACTTGAAATCAAGAAATCATAAAATTTGAGGTGATTAATAATAATGGGAGGTACTGCGATTTCAGAGTATGTTATACACATTGGGTTTTAACAGGTGCCCTTATGGATAGTATAGTTTTATAATAGCTAATTATTAATAGTGCTCTCTTTAACCCTCCATGATGACCCAATTTAGATAAATTATAATCACCTTATGTTAACCTTTTGGAAATGTCTAATAATGAATTTAGAAATGAGGGTCTGCAGGCAAATCCTTAGCATTGAGGACGGGAATACATATCCAAAGAGGTTGTTATTAAAGTTGAAAGGTGGATGAGATGCCCAGCAGAAGAGGAGGAAAGAGATCTTTGTAGGGTAAAAGATGAAAAAAAAGTCTAAAAGCAAAGCATAAAAAAGAGGGTCACAGAGTAGCAATATTTTCACCATAAGAAAATATTATAAAAGAAGGATCAAGTTATAAAAAGTGAAGTGGAGTCCAAGAGGCATACTGTTGATCTCAAGAAAACATGGGGTATAAAGACAGGGTTCTATAATAGGAACACAGAGTATGAATAATAGGAGATAAATACATTGAGAGGCACATGAGGTGTGGTTCAAATCATGGCTCTGATTCTGAGATGACTACAGTAAATGCTATGACTGAGTAGTTGGACTTGTTTTGTTGTTGTTGTTTTAAGAGTTATTTATGCATATAGTACTAGGGTACAGGCCAGAGGTGCAGGGGCAGTGAGAGGGTTCACCAGAGACAGAGTGGGGAGCAGAACAGAAAGATCTACAAAGTACACTGCTGAGGGGAACAGCAGGTGAGACAGGAGAAGTCTGCTGCGCCATGTGGGTCAGCGGCCCGACAGGGGATAGAACTTGTGCCGAAGTGTCTGTGTAGCTGGAGTTTTAAATCACCAATGAAGAATAAAAAGCCACTCAGAGATGGAAAAGTTGGTATGAAGGTAAGGTTTAGAAGACAGCTCCTAATAAGGATGATAGAGGAATGTCAGAGATGAACAGAGAGAAAAGATAATAATAAGATGAGGACTTAAAGAGAAAAGTTATTAAATAACAGTGATAGAAACAGCTATGAAGTGATCTTTGAGGAGCAGGAAAAACAGTTTTTAGCTCCCCATCTCTATCCCACATCGCTCTCAACCCAAAATCTATCAAATAGTGATAGCAAGAGGTGCAGTAGATAACAGCAATGTCTCATCGTCAGAGACCAGATGCCTATTAATTCAAGATGGTGGGAGAAAGTTCTAAGAAAAAAGGTCAGTTATGTTGGAACCCAAAACTGGAACCAAAAGTAAAGAATTGCTTTAGTAAAGGGCCCCGTGGACACAGGAAATGAGCCAGAAAGGAGGAAAGATTGTCAGATGGAAAAGAATTTAAAACAGAAAAGAGAGCAGAGAAAGTCATTAAATTCTATAAACAGGTGATCAAAGTTTAAAAGACATTGGTCATAAGGGGTCAGTAGAAACTCCTATTGCAAATAGTATAGACATTCTGAACAAAAATAAATAGAAAACCAAATTAACCTTACTCTTTTCTTTGAACATCAAGAAAGAATTAAATCAAACTTTATCTCAAAATAACACTGAGGTAGAATTTCTACCCATCCACACAAACTTTTGCTAGCCTTTCTCACAAGTATCATGGAATTCCAGATGAGGGGATAAAGCAAATCACATTATGGAACAGCGCATTTCCTACCCCCATTTCATTTTTATATTGTGTGGATAAAATGAGCTTAGAAATGAACTTTAGGCCTGCCTTGAAAGTTTTTCTTTTTTAAGAAGCTTCAAAAGGAAGTATGTAGCCACAGGGGCGTGGAAGTTGGGGATAATGGGATTTTACAGACTGATTGTATGGACACATAAAAGCAGTTCTTCTTTTTCAATGCCAGCTGTCTAGAGTGGAGGTGGGGACAGTCTAGGAAATTACTACCCAAAGTAATTACCCTTCTGAATATACACCAGGGCTCTGATAATTCTGACATCACAAATCTGAGTATAGCTCATATCAAAGTTTCACTAAAAATCATAGAATTACTTCTGAAATTCCAAATTTTAATTTCCTAATTATGAGGACTAATGTTAATTTAAAACAATAATAGACTAGGTAAAACAAAAATCTACCAAAATTCTCTTTTAAATATATGTTCTATGAATATTAGCAATGTGCTCTGAATAAATGTCTGAAGGTTAAGGTACTGTTGTAAGACACTACCATTTTTGGAGGATTTTGTATAGTGCTAAGTATTTTATGTATTTTAATCTCATTTAAGTCACACAATAACTTTACAGATAGGATTTTTTTTCTGTGCAGCAAATTCAAACAGGAATTATCATCTGTATTTTTCAGATCTGCAATTAATATTGTGAAGGTCATGGAGCTATTTTAGTCATTCAACAATAATGATGATTTATTGAGTTGCCATTCAATAATTGTTTGGGCCTATGTATACAAAAGTCAACCAGGAAAATATGGAGGATATAGTCAATATAGTTGTAGTGGTAGCAATTAACCAAAAATCTGATAAATGTAAAGTGGAAAACAGGTACCATAAAAAAGGAAAACATGCTGCTAAGCCCTCCTTGGGGGGAGGGGGTCAGCACTAAGATACTAGCCACAGCCGCTTAAGTATGATTCCATCCCCTGCCAGGGAGGTGACCCACATGGCACAGCAGACCTCTCGTGTCTCCCCTACCCTAAGCAGTGTACTTCATCAGCCTGCCTGTTCTGCTCCCCACTCTGCCTCTGGTGAATCCTCTCACCACCCCTGCACCTCTGGCCTGTACCCTAGTTCTGTAT